TGTTTTAATTATAATCAGTATTTCTTAGTAATGTTGCGAATTTCGTATGTAAGTAAATAATGTTAATGAAATTATGTGTAAAATTATAGTGTCTTTTGCATCATAATGGGATACGAAATGCTTCAAAGAGACGAAGCTCTGCCGAAAAAATAAGATTACGGGAGCAAGTCTATTTAACATTCAGTATAACTATTATTCTACATTGACGAGATATCGCCAAGCTAGCGATGATTTTGGCGACTAATTTTTGTTGCAAAATTTGGCGAGGAATCGTCAAACTTCGCCAAGCTTAGCAACCATTTTGCGAGATTTTGGTCCGCTCTTTGTATAACTGTAATTGGTCCTGTAACTGAATAACAGTAATTTGTTCTATGTGTAACTGTAACCGTATCCGGCCCTTATATGCTTTCCAGTAATTTCGAGAAATGGGGCGAATTGTATAAGACCGGGAAGAGCATTTTTGTTTCTCAGATTTTAATTTAAAGATGATTTGGAGTATTGAAACTCCGGCGAGCTCAGCTCTCTCAGTGCGCTTTGCATTGTATTGTGTTTAACGTTCTTAGTAGTTTAAAGTGGTAACGACTGACTGCGACTACGAGTACTTTTTATGGAAATTTCCAGAACTGTTTGGGAAAATAAATTTAATCAAGGTATCATCGGTTCTGTGTGCATTCAGTCAATTAAGAACCCATACCTCAACAGCAATACACTATAATTCTTACTAATATTTTAAAATTTATTAGGTTACAACATTAATCATAATAACTATTTCTTAATTTTGATTCTTAATAAATTTTTGTATCATCTTTGAAACTAAATAGTTTTATCTAAAGAAATCTCGTATTACTTTCAAGTTTTATATATTTTATGCAAATGGAAATTTACTTTCTGTTACAAAAATAGGAAATCGCCAAAGACAGTTTGAACTTCTAAATAAAACCAGATCCTTAACAGTGTGTTTTTGTCCTACTTCCTGACTCACCTTTCTTATCTCTCATATAAACAAGCCCCGAGGATAAAAATGAAGAAAGCGTAGAGCATGAAAACATCAAGCAAGCATATCTATTCAACGATGGGTATCTGCGCGTTCCTCTATTACGAGACTGGGTAGGAAAATGATACTGCAATTGGCAAGTCATTCTGCTTGTAAAATTGCCCTACGTAAAGATCTTAAACCTTATCTTAATCTCACCGTATGTTAATGTGCCCCCCCCCGTTGGCATGTTGGTAAAGCTGCTGACCTCCATAATTTGGACCCGGGTTTGAATTCCAGAAAAAGCCAGGATGATTGTAAGTTTATGGTGTCGATGCAACATGGGAATACTTAAAATACTCTCATGCTGAGATTCCACCCGAGAGGTTGGTGGAAGGGAAAGAGAAACAAACTCGTGGTCTCCCAAGGGTTGGTTCCTTCGAAACTGGGCAAATTCGAATTGCCACTTTGTAAGGTTTAACGTTCTTTTAACCATGAGCCATTCTGATGTAACTGGAGAGCATGTCCGAAAAGTCCCGACTTCGAGTCGGAAAGTCCTGACTTCGAGTCTCAGCGAGAGCACTCGGATTTATCATATTTCCTGTCTCCGAAAAGTCTATTAGACTCTACAGGTGACGCCCGAACTAAATGTGGAGAACGAGAATTCGTCAAAACCAGGATTTGGCGACTGGGTCTCTTCCTTCCGATGAACGCATGACAGGTAACTATCGGTCTCGATAGTTACTAGTGATGATAGGTAACTAGTGATGATTTATTAAATCTTTGATAACAAAATTCATTACTATTAGCTAAAAACTAATGGGTTTTTTAAAAAATGCCAAAATTAGATAAACTACTTTAGAGATTCTGAGAAACTTTATTTAGAAAAGTAGATTTTATTCTGTCCACTGATACAGAGATTAAAATTCTGAAACAATTTATTTAAACCTAAAAAGAAACATATGTGAGAAAAATTCAATAAATAAATAAAAAAACTAAACATTGCGTTTTAACAAAATGGCTGAGGAATATTGTATTTGCCATCTCAAATACAAAACTGTGCAAAATTTTAAAAGAAAAAAAAAATCTGAAGTGAAAAATCTGAGTCCATATTTTAACGATCGCCCAAAAAGTTTTGTTAAGGTTTTTTTACTCCTTTCCTGCACTCGCAGTCTACCAGTATGCTTTTTTTACACTTACTCCTGCTAGCTCTTTATTATTAAACACCATTTTATTCGCACTTACGCCATATACGATTCAACAGTAAAATTAAACAATATTTTAAAAGCAGCATGTGCTTAGAATTCTCAATGCAGTAATAAATACTGCCATAGCTTTTTCTGTTTTTTTTTAGTCTTTTCTCAGTTCGTCGTATCAATATAAAGTTTTCTTAGTAAGGTGGCTTACATTTTTTTTCTCTTTTTATTATTAACGGTTTGTGTGTTAATATTATTTATTAAATATCACGTTCTTTGCCCTTACGCCGCATAAAATTCCATTGAACAACAAAATCACAAAATATTTAAAAACAGCATATCTTTAGAATTTCTGACAGATATTCTCGAGTGCTGAAGATAAAAAAAATGTTTTATTCTATAGGCTGTTGTCACTGCATGCTTTCGTCTACTTTATAAATAAAAAATTTATTAAAGTTTTACAAAATATGAAACATAAAATTCGAAAACAAAACTTCGGACTTCTAGGTTCAGATGTTCGGGCGGAAAACAACGTTATTTAAAATTTATTGGCTCTAGATAGCGTCGTTTTTTAACAACATGCATGCGGATTCTTCATTATTTAATTTCTTTAAAGATAACTCAATTTGAAAAGTGATTCGCTGTTTATAGTGGAAGACGCTAAATCCTGTTTTGAGACTACTAATAGCCCATTCGGGCTAAAAATCTTTCCTTAGAAAATTTTAAAATTTATTTCAAGATTTGACCAAACAAATAAACTGACAAAGAAATCAAACTATTAAAATCCGCATTAAGAACTCTTTTTCTAAAAGGTGTCTTTTTCTTTTCTTTTTTCTATCCCCTCCTCCCAATCGTTGGGTCGTCGTCAGCTTGAACGAATTTCAGGAGAACGACGCAAATTGCGAGTGGTTTCGTACCGTAATTGCTCATCGCGTGAAATTTCACACTGAGGAGACATTTCTGCTTTTAAGTCGACAGTTGGCAATTGCAGCTTCATGCTCTGATCTTGATGACAGGAAAAGGAAACCGAAGCCTTTACTGACATCTTCAGCATAGCAACTGAACGCTTGAAATGGGCTAAAAGTAAAATGTCATGGACTGATTCTTCGGAAGCATATTATTTGCAAAGACGAGGAGGGGGAAGTTATAATTTAAAAGTCCCAAACGGTAGGCAAAACTCACTGGTACGACCCAAGGAAAAAGAACTTACTCTAAAACACAACAACGATCACCATCATAATGGTCTAAGCCAGGCGTGACAAAATTACGGCTGCTTGATCCCTTAAATGCTACTTGCATTGTAAAAAAAGAGTAGTTTAATTCTCTTTTTTAAAATATAATTCATCTTTGAAACATAAGTCTTACTACTGCTCATTTTTTAAATGTCAATATATAAATTTTTTGAATTGTTTATCCGTTCTAAAAAACTCCAAACTTCCCGCCGCGGTCTAATTGTCAACGTAATTAATAAACCTCCTTCTCCTGTCAGTTTCCGATGTTAGTTTAAATTATTGAAATAATGGAAAGCACATGAGGGCTATCTGCCTAAAAGAAAGGGGTGCCTTCGTGGAGAATATTAACGTTACACATGGTGAAAATCACGAAAACTAACCACCCAACTAGCCCGCTCATTTAGATTCGAATTCAAACTAGGTCAAACTATCCGTATTTAGTGAATTTAACTACTCGGTTACTAGTGGGGCTTGTGGCCGATGGTCGATCGTTTAAGACCATTGAATATTGGTAGTTCAGTACAGGTTCGAACCCAGGTGATCGGACTGGCTGCAGGGTTGGTTTTTGTAGTTGTATTATGTATAAGTCAATACGAGTCAGTTTTCCAAAGGAAGTCCACGGCTAACATATTCTTTCCCTTACGCAGAAATCACTCTTGTACTTTGTCGTATTCAAGTAACTTTAATAAATAAATGACAATTGGTTCTGCTGCTGCAATTTAACCGTCATGATGATGCTGTTTCTTGACCAGGTTTTAAGGGTTTTTTTTAATAACATATTATTTTTTCAACGGCTGATTGGTTAAAAATGCTGTCAGGTTGGAGCCGAGGCGAACAGGCTAGCTGCATTAGATCATTTTGTGGTTTCTCGCGTATGTAACGGTATTATAAGCCAATTTTAGTATACCAATTTTACTTCTTCCAAACGCATCTCTCATTTAGGCAGACAACCTTCCTATACTTTGCCGTATTTACATAGCTAGCTATTAAAACGTTATTTTTTATGTTAAATCGTTCTTGCTCTTCTACTTCCCGTCAACTCAATTGAAAATGTAAACTGAATTTAAAAAACGATCATATTTGCATGTCTTACCAAGAACATTGTAACTCTTAAGATGTTTTGCCTGCGACAACATTGCAAGAATTCTTGGTGAATTTTGACTTTTATGGTTACCCTAGAAAACCCGTTAGTCCAACAACTAGGTTCTTCATCTATAATTTTAAGTTTGCTTTGTAAATAATTGAAATACTGTTATATTTTTTTATCAAATCCCTGACCATTGACCATCAGGTCAGTGGGCAACAAGCTCTCCAATACTTCTTCACAATACAGTCCAAACTCTTAAATGCAGAGTACACATCCAGAAGAGAAGCGTCCGTGACTTGTCCAGAATCACACAAAGCACATAAAGGTGAGGCAGTCAGATTAAAACGAAACAAATGAGCATCAAGGCAGTCATGTTCAGTCAATAGTCTAAAACTCAGCCACAGCAGTAGCACGAGGAAAGTCAGAGACACAATCAGCTTTTAATAGCACCCTCCATGACTTAATTTCAGCATCATTACGAAAGGTTTTTTTTTTTTTTTTTTTTTTTATAAATCATATTTATTTCAGGTTTAGCAGAGTGAAGAGATAGGTCTTTGGAAGACATTTGGAGCATATCCGTACTTTTTTTTTTTTTCTTTTTTTGCCAAAAGGTCCGCCATCTCATTTCCGCAAAGACTGCAATGTGATGGCACCCACTGGAAAGCAACCTGTGTCTGAATTATGCTCAACAGCTCCCTGCAGCTCTGGACACGGGCACTTTCTTTTCCTAGGTTACTTGCTAAGGCCTGAAGAGCAGAACTTGAGTCCGATAAAATTGCAAACTTAACAAGAGGAGAGAGACGGGCAGAAAGCTGTTGAAGGGCTAAACGGATGGTCTCGACTTCACCGTCAAAATAGGTTGTATGAGAGCCAACATACTTTTATATTATTTGTTATATTATCAGGTCACAAGTAAATATTACAAATACTCTTATATAATCAGGCTACAAGTAACGTTCTTAAAGTTTGTTAAGTTTATAATTTAAATTAACGAGTTATCACGATTTCATTCTTTATTATAACTTTTCCTTTCCTTATTCTTCACCAGTGCATATGACTTAGCCAGCACTGAAACAGAGGTTTTGGGGTTTTCAGACAGAATGCGTTTGTGGCTTAGCGTGCACGCTACGTCTTACTTCCTGCCAGCTCTGATAGTTGTAACTATTCGGCTTTGCGTTCTATCGCTGCCGATACTTTGATTTTTACTCTCCGGATAGAGTTACTCAGCCACCTTCCAGTAATACTTTTAATTGTGCAGTCCCTGACTGTTTCTTAAAGCTTAGATTAAATTTTAATGTTCTGTTTAGTTGCATCTCCACGAGCTGCGGTTGATATTCTTGTAAAAGAGTGTGCCTTTACATTCTAAATTATGTTTAAATGAAAAGGATACTTAACAATTTTGCAGTTACTTAAAATATAGTGATAATTGGCTTCGCGTCTATTAGGGTTACTGAAGTAATTAACTCTAAATCAAGAGAACGCCTACAAGTTTCTTATAATTTTAGATTCGTAATTTCTAGCCGAAATACGAATGAATACTTTAATTGAAAGAGTGCTATTATCACTTTGTGCTACTGGATTCTAAATTGTGGTTGGGGCTATAATTCGTCTGTCAGCCCAGGAAAGTTAACATAAATTTTGATTAAGCTTAATTTTTCCCTTTGCAGTATTATTGAGTTTGTTTAGGTATGTTTTGGTAATATTTAGTAATCAAAATTCACACTTTATTTAAAAATATTTTTTATTTTTTATCCCAAAGAGACATTTGCCCAGAAAGGCTATTAAATTTCGTTTTTGGGGCATTTTTTGCGCCGTCGACTATGAAACGGTGGTTGATTCACTTTTTGAATTGTTGCTACCCAATATTAGAGCGTTATATTTAAGAATATAATGCTCTAATATTTCGTGGCTTATTTAAAAGAAGTTAAAATTAACTGCATTATATTTAAAGAATTTAATTAATTGCATATATTTATAAAGAAATTAATAATGAAGAATCTACATGAACGTATGTATGTTTCTCGCATATTATGAAAAAATAACGGTACCTAGAGACATTAAATTTTTGAATAACGTAGTCCTTCAGTCGAATTTGTTTTATTATCCATTTCATGTTTTGTAAAAACTTTAACGAATTTTTTGATTAACAAACTGAACTATTTCAAAGCGAGAAATGGCAACACACTGTTGTACAAAAGAAAAAAACTGAACTTGAAACTGCATTTTATGGTTAAGTGCGAAAAGAACATGATATTATAATTTAATAAATAAAGGTTTAAAAAAACACCCGTTTGGGCGTATGTAAAATCTTATATTAAAAAATTTGTTTTAATAAATTTTTTTCATTTTTGAAAAAATAAATAAATAAATAAATAAATAAAAATATTTTTTTTCCCGTTAGCATTCGACCTTCATGCAGTTCGGAACTATTGCATGTCCGCCATTTTTAATTCGAAAATGCTGCTGTTTCACGTCTGCGAGAGATTTTTTTTTATTAGATTCATACTACCTTTTATACATCCAATTTCTGATGTATAAACAAAATTAAAAATTATTTACGTACTCATAAATACAATCAATCTAAATGTCTTTTTTGATTGACTGTTTTCCTGGATCCTCAACAGTTTTATCAAATAGGGCCGAATTCGCTCCGATGTATGCACTAATTCTGACATTCAATGTAAACTGAAATTTGTTTAAATAAAAATCGATATGCGTGAGACAGATCAAGAATGTTAATAAACAGATTAAAACAAAATTATATCCTTCACTATTTCTGTGGCTTAGCGTGCACGCTACGTCTTACTTCCTGCCAGCTCTGATAGTTGTAACTATTCGGCTTTGCGTTCTATCGCTGCCGATACTTTGATTTTTACGCTCCGGATAGAGTTACTCAGCCACCTTCCAGTAATACTTTTAATTGTGCAGTCCCTGACTGTTTCTTAAAGCTTAGTTTAAATTTTAATGTTCTGTTTAGTTGCATCTCCACGAGCTGCGGTTGATATTCTTGTAAAAGAGTGTGCCTTTACATTCTAAATTATGTTTAAATGAAAAGGATACTTAACAATTTTGCAGTTACTTAAAATATAGTGATAATTGGCTTCGCGTCTATTAGGGTTACTGAAGTAATTAACTCTAAATCAAGAGAAAGCCTACAAGTTTCTTATAATTTTAGATTCGTAATTTCTAGCCGAAATACGAATGAATGCTTTAATTGAAAGAGTGCTATTATCACTTTGTGCTACTGGATTCTAAATTGTGGTTGGGGCTATAATTCGTCTGTCAGCCCAGGAAAGTTAACATAAATTTTGATTAAGCTTAATTAGGGTGCAAAGCTATAATCTAATGCTTTAGGACAGCAGAAGAAAATAACGCGCTGTGTTGATGATGCATCCGAAATTTAATTTAACCGAACTACAAAGAGGTATAATTTTAACATGCACTAGAAGAAACAAGATATAGCTAGTGTTTCAATCACTATCTAATGAATTTATTAAATAATTTTGGGTTAGGTTTTTATTTCCGTTTGCAATTCTTCACGTCTGTGAACCAAATTGTAGCTTTTCTTGCAAAAAATCTTTAAAACCAAAACAGCTTATTTAAAAATGTTTTTTCTTTTATTTCAATCTGCAGTTTCTCCTTATTATACTGCGTCACGACCAAGGTCGGGATACTTTGTTTAGTCTCAACTGTTTTATTCTTTTTAAAGTGATGCTTACAGGTTCAAAGGAGGATGCTAATTTTCATATTATTGGGTTATTTTTCACGCAAATTGAAAGCTGGTCCCGTCATGGTAAAGTTCAGTTTACTGGAATAAAATTAAGTTGAAAACAATATTAATAACAATACGGAGTTCGAAAACTAAGAGAAAATGTTTAGTATCCTCCGCAAGTTGTCTCCTTTGTTATTTGCATATTTTTATTAAATATAAACTGCATATGCTAACCGTTTTTAAGAACTATCCTATTAGTTTATCTTCAGCGCTTTTATAATAAGTCATTTTATTTTAAGAAACATTTAGAAAATTTCTTTCTGGAACAAGGAGATTTTGATAACAACAAATAAAAATATATGTGAACAATATTGTGAATTCAGTAGCTTTTTTTTATCCAAACTAATTTCAAAAGCACAGCTTTCCGGAAATACGTGTCAGCTTACTCAACCTGGGCCTCCCCCCGAAGCAATTTGGTACGGCATGCGAAACCATTTCATTTATAGTGTTGTAAAGATTTAAAGATTTTAAATTATCTGAGGTCTGAATTTAAATTGTAGAGACAATAGGTTTTTTTTTTTTTTTTTTTTTTAAAGCAGGAGCAGTGGAAAATGAGCAACGCCTTCGCCGGGAATCGAACCACGGACCTCTGGAATACACGAGCAGCATGCAGACCACTACACCGCGAAGGCACGCCAAGAAGGCGGGAGAAATACCTTATATACTCCTCCTTTAAAAGGGCGACTGGGGTTTTTAGGGCACCCAATTGCCAAATCCTGGGTGTGGAGAGTCATCATTCACCATCGTTTGGGCGCCACTATATAGACATTAAAGATGAAAAATATGCAAAACCTTCGGGAATCGAACCGCAGACCTCTGGAATACACGCCCAACGTGCAAACCACCATACCACGAAGGCATACCAAGAAGGCGGGAGAAATACCTTATAACATTATTTTCATTCACATTAAAAACGAGCATGAATAACGCAACAGAAAATCTATAAATGGAGCTAATTAATCTACAGTGTGACATAAACCTTATTCAAAGATTTGAAGATGCAGATTTTGTTTACTTTTATTCGTACTTATCAAAAAATAATTTTGATAAACTCAGTTACGAATTTTTACGCTAAGAATATTCACTTTGTTTGGGAATGCATATATTTATGTGAATAGCTTTTTTCACAGCTGAAAATTGATAAGAAAAGAATCCGATTGACCGATGAGCGTCTATAATCCGTGATGAAGATAATTTGTAGTAAATTTTCTCCAAGGCTATAAACTTTATCAGAATGGAAACGCCGTCGAGTTTCAGGCTGTAATAAGAAATAAAGAAAAACATATTTAGTTTTATTTATGCGTCGAAGAAAAACATTTAATAAATTAAAGAAATGAGGCTAGAATGTTATTATTTATTCTCAATTCTTATTGCACCTGCTAAATTTTCTCTGAAAACTTAAAAAGTTTTTATAATATGTTTACTTTCAGTTTAAATTAAAGTAAGTTGTTTAATCATTAATTACATGTGTAAGAATTATTAAAAAATATGAGTTTTAAGAATTTAATATTTGGCTCTCAATATATTTGAACTGCAAAGCGTAACCATTTAAAATGTCTTACTACCAGACTTTAGATTTCAGGTAAGAAATAAATACAAATTTCAATTTTTTTCCCTTTGCAGTTTATTGAGTTTGTTTAGGTATGTTTTGGTAAATATTTAGTAATCAAAATTCACACTTTATTTAAAATATTTTTTATTTTTATCCCAAAGAGACAATTTGCCCAGAAAGGCTATTAATTTCGTTTTGGCATTTTGCGCCGTCGACTATGAAACGGTGATTCACTTTTTGAATTGTTGCTACCCAATATTAGAGCATTATATTTAAGAATATAATGCTCTAATATTTCGTGGCTTATATTTAAAGAAGTTAAATTAACTGCATTATATTTAAAGAAATTTAATTAATTGCATTATATTTATAAAGAAATTAAATAATGAAGAATCTACATGAACGTATGTATGTTTCTCGCATTATGAAAAAACAACGGTACCTAGAGACATTAAATTTTGAATAACGTAGTCCTTCAGTCGAATTTGTTTTATTATCCATTTCATGTTTTGTAAAACTTTAACGAATTTTTGA